TATATATATATATATATATATATATAATACAGTTAATATTCAAAGATGTGGAATAAATTGCAATGTTAAAAATATTTGCGTTGACTGCAATAACAATTCAGTGTGAATTTCCTTTACAACAATAGTACCTATATAAAATAGCCTTAAACACACAATGCCGAAAATTAAAACATAAGAAAGCATCAAATATAAATTTATATTCTGGATTACAATCGTTTGGATTACCATAAAGTAAAATTACTTTAAAGTTAATTATGGGAAGGCGTACAGATTTGTCGGTGTTATTCAGACAGATTCTGAGACATCCATTAGTGGTTGGTCGACATCAACAGAAGGACCTATCACAGCAGTGCTGTAAAATATTTTGAATAATATATTTTATAAGAAATTTCAAAACTCTTGATAGCAATACAGGACATGAAAATCTTATTTATAACAAAAATAAAATACAACAAAAGCTGTCAATCACAATACTGCACAAAAAACAAAGATCAATGCTTCATATAGCTTTATCAAATGTTATTATAAACACAATCATAAAAATGTTAATTTGCCATTCATCCATCCACATCCAAAGACGAAGATATGTTAGATAGATCAAATACAGATATAATATAGAATAAAAAAGAATAACGTTCATTTTGACTTTATATACACATATTCATGCAAGCTTGATATTGTAATATTCAATCGGGATTACAGACAATATTACCCAGTGCCAAGAGCCAAAATTGTAGCTTCTTGTACCAATGTCATTTGATCAATGGTGGACCTGTGATCAATCAAAAATTCACTAGAATGAATTATATAAAAAAAAGATATTGTATTATATTTACCTATACATGATATGTATGATCATATATATATACACACACACATAGCGTAAATAAAATTTAAATTACACGTTCAATTAACTTGAAATGAACAAATATTTGAAACATGTATACTATGTAAGATAAAAAAGTCATGAAAAAATATGAAAACAAGACATCAATTTATTTCAGTCGGATCAAAGGAATAATCTAATACATATATTTTTTAAATCTGTTTTATTGTTATTTTTTATATTTTTTAATACATATTAAAATAATAAGGAAAATTGTTTTATTTGACAAGTTAATATGGACTCAAACAAGTTCTTTTGTTAATTTGATTTTAAATTATTACGAGGAAAAATTAAAGCAATAAAATAACGATTTCAGAATTAGTTTGTTGTGGAAGCAGGAGCAGTCAGCAAAAGAATGTTTAGTATTTATTAGTAGTAAAATCGGAAACTTACTGTAATTTCGTAGCATGTATTGATGTATTTTATCTTATTTATATATTTATATGATAAAACTTCATACAATGCATTTGCAAAATGTAAAAACCTAAAAGATGCATGTTGTATAAGTTGAATGTCAATAAATATGTTCAGTCAGGATATTTCTGTAAATGATACTGTGTAAATTATACTTTTATATTTCTTAATATTGTTATATATTTCATGTATTGATAAGCACTGTCAATGGATAGGAATATTCTGTAAATGTGGGATAAGATAAAGAATAATTATAAATAAAATTTTATTTCTATGAAGAAATTGGTTTTTTACAGATGATTTTAGATATATTTCCTATTCTACTATAAATATAAATGTTTGTTTTTTAGCAACAAAAAATATTTGAATTAACTATTGGAATGTATATATCATTGTTCATTATTAACAAAGTGCATAATAATATGTACTTATTTATAATACAATACATAATATGAATTTCATTTCATAACAATTAAAATATCTAGATACATCAATTTATTTATATTGTGAGAACATACTATGCCAAGTCCTCCGAATAAACAAGACATCCAACTCATGATCTTAATTTTAATTCTCTGATCTATTTGAATTCAAGATTTCTTTTTCATAAAAAATATTGAGATTATCATTTATAATAACCTTCCAATTCTGAATGTTATATATTTCTTATATATTTCTAGTTTTAAATAAAAATTCTGTTCCAAAATATAACTGAAAAATATTACTTTATCAATTTATCTATAGATAAGAAATTCAATTTACAATTATTTTTAACTCAATAATTATTAACGCCTCAATATTTTTGAATTTAAGAAAAATCGATTCCAAATTTGTTAGAGAACCTGTTATTAAAATCAGTTATGAATCATGAGAGGAGGCACTTCACTTTAGTTGCGATAGATTTTATACAACTACATGTACTATTAAATAATAACAAATATCTGCATAAATATAATCTGCATAAATATAATTTGTAAGGAATGATTGCTATATAAAGTGGCGGTTGAACACTATCAAATTGAATAAAATTGTCTTGATCTAAGAATCAAACCTATAAAGTACCTGATTTACATAGGGAGATGGGGAGTCAAATTCAGTTTCATCACCCCACTGTTGGGTGCTGGGGCCCAACAGAGTATGAGTATCTTCATTGCACAGCCGCTCGGGAAAGTTTACCCCGTCTCCAAAGCTGCAAGCCATACCCTACCTTCTACTCGATGTTATCCCATGTCTACAATCCTTATGGCGTAACTATCTATCATATTTTCCTTTTTTTATTTTTTTTCGTTAATTCAATTTTACTTATCTAACCGATTAAATGAGGAAAAATCGTAAAGGAAGTAAAAACAAGGTACTTCTTTTAAAGAAGGAATAACTATACATAGTTACACCACTTTTATACTACAAGTACAGTTTATAAGAACCAGATGCACAATACCTCACGTAATTATTATAACAATTTTACGCAAATTAGTCTTCAACTAAAATTTATAATGTAACATAAGACATGCAATTTTACCACAAAAATCTTAAACGCTTTTATATAAACACATTATTATTATATATTTAAAAATATATTACATTTAAATCTTTCAATATACATTCTGTAACAAGTAGATATTTATCTGTAAATGAGATATTAAAATATAATTAATAAATATATTTTTAGAGAAGACTGCAAAAACTTTAAAAATTATTTTTTTTTGTTTTTTAATATTGTAATATCCTTTTCCTTCGATATACATTTCAATAAAAAAACAAAAAAATAGAAAAATCGATTGGCAGTTATAGATATATGCAAATTGTGAATTGTGTCAATGCTATCAAACATAATTGTAATTGCAAAGAATACCTTCTCACTCAGAAGCAGAATAAATAAAAGTTTGATTTTATAGACTTCGCAGACAAATTGTATAAAAAACTCAAGTTACGAAATGATTGGGGAAAAGTAATAGCGATAGAAGTGATAGTCAGCGTCAAACAAAAAGATACAAATGCGTTGCATGCAGCCTGGAAGCACTTAAAGGTCTTATCATTACTCTGGAACTCTATAAAAGAATAAAGGAAAAGGTATACAAAAATATAAATATAAAGGCAAGAAAATATTTTGAATAGGTTAAGAACATCAGAACAAAATAGCAAAACTTTTGAAAATCTCTTTAAAAGCAAACTGTTGAAAGTTTTTTCCCCAAATTTGTTTTCAAAACTTATATTTAAAGCACATTTACTTGTTAAGCACATCTTTATCGAAAAAAAAAAAACACCGAGTTCCACAGTAAAGAGTCAAAGTAATTAATATTGCATTTTTGTTTAAAGCTTTTATAATGCTGACCTGTTCTGAGTACTGCCCATGGAGTCATAAGTATTGGGTGTGCCCTGGTGTTGCGATCTTACTGGGTAGACGACACCATTTCCCAGACTAGAACACATCCAATGCAATCACTCCAATTTAAAAAATTGAATTTGCTTTTGTCGGTCATAAAAGTGCAAATATAGTGCTCATAAGAATGATTTGTAAGTGCGGGAGTTGCATACTAACTAACAGTGCACCAAAATGAAAAATTTTTATATTCATATTTCTAAAAAAAAAACTTTGCATCGAAAAACAGGAAGAATTTATATACAGGACAAAGATGGAAAACAGTAAAATTTCAACTTATGTAACAATCTATCTGCATCCTGTTCTGATTTAATATAAAACATAAAAAATATCATACAACATATTTCTCTTTGTATAATTATTATAACACAGAGATATAATAAAGTAATACATGTATATCTTTTTATTATAATAATAGATGGAAATTCTTCAAAACTTTTTATAGAAAAAACAAAAGAATAACGGATATATAATATTCTCACACACATAATTTCGGAGCATTCTCCATATAATTAGATAGAAATATATATAGAAAAATACTAATAAAAAATTGTATCACATAAAACATGCGATTATTTTGTTTCTTTGAAGGAAAATAAACTTTGAAAAAATCAGAATTGCTCACACTTTATATTCAAGGCCCTGCAGTACTTATGTTACCGTATTTCAAATTTCGTTTAAGTATGCCAAACCGCATAGTTGTTTTTTTATAAAGATTATGATAGGCGGTATACTAGAAGCATACAAATTGATATAATAGTTGAGTTATTATGTATTGTGCAATTGGTTCCCACTTCGTAAATTATACAATTTTATCGCGTATAAAGTATTGAAGAAATGAAAAGCACATACCTACTAAATATGGGTAGAAACCAAAGTCGCGGATTGTCACCGAATACTTCCTGAAAATTATTGTATTTTCCCAGACTAAATCCATCTTTATCCTTTCCTGTCCGAAACATAGGTGCTCTAAAGGCCTCTATAAACAGTTACATGGTACTGATTAAAAATTATATATTAAATATTGTAATAGTAAAATGGAAATATATATATGCAATAAGTACCTAGCGTCGATCTATTATGAATAACGAGATAGCAATGATAGAAGAAAAGGGAGATAAGACTGACTGCAAACATCAATGCAACGAAAAAAAGAAATAGCAGGTGAAATCTACCCATTCCATCTAGTTCACCCTATAAAGGAAAAATTTATATTAATTATAAAATGCAAATTATACACACACACACACACACACACACACACACACACATATATATATTTAGCATTATATAGGATGAGTCATTTTAATCGAACCAGGCAAACATAAGATAATATCATTTGTTCGACCTTGGATAGTCGTTTGAAAGTCATGTGAAAGTTACCTTCAATTTTTAAAACGAAAATTCCCATTTAAGGTGACCTTCACGTGACTTTCAAACGACTATCCAAGGTCAAACTAACTGTACCATCTTATGTCCCCTTCTAAACCATACAACTTTTGTCTGAAACATTTTTCCGTATCTTCCATATTTGTCGAGATATTTGCTTGGTTCGATTAAAATGACTCACCCTGTATAATCTGAATAAATCATATTATTATATTATTATATCATTATTAATTTATTAGAAAAGAAAAAATCTACTCACTTGCCAAAATTGTATAAAGTATTGCAAAGATGTAGCGGTAAGAAACAAACAATAGAGAAGTCCGTATGCCAGAAACAGTATGAAAAATTTATAATTGTGGAAGCCTACGCAATTGTTCACCCATGGACAATGATGATCCATTTTTAAGACACAAGTGCCACACACGCTACAGTGATGTGCTCTATCAGGTTTTATTAACTGACACTTTTCGCAGAATCGCATAGCTAAAGAAAGAATATTATCAACATTTATACATACAAGAAATTCAACAATTTTTTATGTCATTTATAATTTAAATATTACCTCCTTTTATGGTGCGATTAGTAACTGGAAGATCTTGTGCAAATCTTTCCAAAATTTGTCTCTGCGTTTCTTCAGTTTCAGCCTGTTGCAATTTCTCCATTTCAACATCAGGTATTTTAAACTAGAAGGGTTAAGAAAATGTGTAAGTACAGATTATTTATATTGTATTGTATTGTAATCACAAATAATTATTTTTATTTGTAACAGACAATTTACCTTATCTGGCACGGGTATTAAATTTGTGTACATTGTTTGCCAATACGACCACAAAAACATCAGAATCAGGATGTGGAAGAAAAGCAGATAGAAAACTGTAACATATATAGATAATAAAAGTGTTATATATATATATATGCAATATGGCTACTTTCCAAAATCAGAATTAACTTCAATAAACAGAAATGACATTAAGAGTTATAATTATAGAAATAATAAAACAGAGACAAAAAAGTATTAAATTGTAAAAGAAAATAAAGTTAATATATAAAGTAATACATGATACAAACCTTTTTGAACATAATTATCTATCGTATCTGAAACAAATACATTACAATGTTAGTATAAAGCTTTCAAGAGTAGATTTTTATTTTGCAACTATGCAGTTTAACTATGAACATGTATACGCCAGATCTTTTCGTCGAATATGGTCAACCCTATATATGTGTGTATGTATCTATACATATATTGTATATACTAGCATGATTGCAAAATAAGACTTCTACTTGTGAAATAGTTCTCTTTTTAAGTTTATTACATATATACATAAACATCAAATGGAAATTTTTTGCATATCGTACAGATTACATAAAAAAATGTCATAAAAAGGTTAACACTATTAAGATTAAGATTTAATGTCAATAAGAGAGATTAAGATCTACATGCCAAGAAATAAAGAAAATTCAAATTGTTTAGAATCGTCGGTAAGCAAAATACAAAGAAACGTAATTAGAAGATGATATCTCGAAAGCGCGCGTTTTTAACGATATGACGCAAGCTAAAGCGGCATGACGAAGTTGGCGAAGACGTTGGCAACTCGAAGCGAAACCGGTGGCGAGACAAAACGGAAAGCTACGAGAATATCGTAAGTCCGGGTACTCACAGTAGCACAATTGCACTACGTAGGCATAATAAGACCAGGCAACGATCGTTAAGATAAAGATCACTGGCAACCACTTGATGGCCTTGAGGCACCACCAGCACGAGCCGTTTTGCTTGCCCATATCTGTTCACCGAATCGACGGCGTGCGTAAGATTGCGTGCCCACCGATCGCGGGCCTCATCAACAACGCGTTAATCCTCGGTCCGCTGAAACGCAGCGGCATCGCAGCACTGCACTCCGGGGCTCCGACGAATCGGCCGTTTGATTCTACCGGTTCTACCTCAGCGGACTCCGTGTAGAACGTGCGACTGCGGCCGAGCGCGAAGAGTGCGAGAACACATCATTGCGCAAGCGAAGCCTGCCCGCGTTATCGCGGCATCACACCCTCTTCCGAGATCAGTACACTGCAGACCAACACCGACGTCACCGACGTAACCACCGCCGCGACGGACGTTCGGAATCTTATTTTGGACTGGCAACTGCTTTGCACACCGCACGCAACGTGCACCATCTCATTCC